AGAGGCTTCACCAGAGACAGAGTGGGGAGCAGAACAGGCAGATCGACGAAGTACACTGCTGAGGGGAGCAGCGGGCGGGTCAGGAGAGGTCTCCCGCGCCCTGTGGTCACCTCCGGGGCAGGCGGGAATCGAACTCATGCAGAAGCGGCTTTAGATTCTCAATGTTGTGCTTTAACCCGCTGCGCCACCAGGGAGGGCCACGTACCCCCATTTTTAAAGGTCTCTAGAAACTTCCCTGGGGGCCGCTTGGGCCAGCCCAGAGACTGGAGACAAGCCTCGGCACGGTTACGTCTGTGCTGTCGGTGGCTGTTCCACTGCCCAGTGGGGCTGCGAGCTGCCGTCAACTTCCTGATCCAAACCACTATTTTGGGCCAAGAACCGTCCTTCCGACCGCAGGAAGGGGCAGGCAGGGCCGGCGGCAGGTCCCCCGGGGCCCTTCGGAGATGGCCCCACTCTGTCCCTAGGTCATTCACCAGATGTGTTTCAAGCTCGGCAGATGCCAGGCTCAGGACCTGGCCCCTGCCCTCGGGCTGCAGGCCCCTCAGGCATATGGCCAGCATAGCCCACGGGCTGTGGGGGCTCAGAAAGTGGTCACAGGGCCGCGCAGGGTGTTGAGGCAGCTGGTGAGGTGGCTGGGTGCCAAGGAACTGACTTCTACCCTGGCAGGTACCGGAGGCTGACAGTGGAGTTTGTTGGGTTCCCCACAGTTGGCTCACAATGCAGTGCGGCGGGCGGGCGGGCAGGCGGGCGGGCGACGGCGCTGCGGCGGGACGTGGCCAAGGTCGCTGTCAGAGTCTGGTGCAGAAGCTGCCAGGATGTGCTGGGGCAGCTAAGCAGGGCTGGCCACCTGCCCGCGGGTGTTCACACACCCAGGCGTGGAGGGTTCTGTGGGGTGAGCCTGCCGGGGTGGCCCCAGGAGATGTGCTCGCTGCAGTCGGGCCACACAGCCATCCTGAAGCGGTTTCCTGGTTTTTTTAGAGTTTTGTTTATTTGTGCATGCGGAACTAGGGTACCGGCCAGCAGTGCGGGGTGGAGAGGCTTCCCCAGAGACAGAGTGGGTCCACCGCTGAGGCGGGCATGCTGCGCCCTGTGGCCGCTCCCCGGCCGGGATAGAACTTGTGCTGCGGCGGCTGCCAGAGCTTCACGGTGCTGCGCTTTCACCCGCTGGCCACCAGGGAGGCCCGCGGTTTCCTTACTGAGAGGACTTTACCCTTCGCAGCTGCTAATTCAGTGCCTAATTCTAAATGCCGTTGCTTCTTCCAGGTTTATTTATGAAACAGAGCATCACAACGGCATAGCGGAGCTGCTGGAGATACTGGGAAGGTGAGTGCTC